GGGGATGTGACAAGGAGATGGTGGGGATGTGAGGACTCACCCATCCCCAGGAGACACAGGGACACGCAGGACGGCAGGCTGGTGCCCATGGTGAGGCAGTGCAGGAGGTGCTCCCAGCTCTCTGTCCTGCAGAATGCAGCAGAGGAGGAGCTTCTGTGTCCCCACCCAGCAGCCTCCACCGTGATGCTATGTGACATCTCCATGGAGGCCTCTGTCTTCCTGTCCAATAGCTGCAAGCCCAGAGAGCTCTTGAGGCTGTGCAGTCATGGCCTGTGCAAAGGCACGTGCTGTTCCAACACTTCAGGAGTTGAGGCTCCTTCCACATTTCCAGATCTCCTGGATATTTCCTCTTGCCTCTACCAAAGCAACTGAAATTCAAGCTATCAGCTACTGAACTTCCCTCTGCCGTGTAACTACCCAGGATCTCATGGGCTGTCTTTCATTTATCTAGTGATAAGAATTCTCTGCCAAATTTATTAGAGGAGGTGAGTGATGCTACAGAAAGAAAACAGCTCAGAAATGTTGTTATAGTTTAGAGGTGCAGTGTTGTATCAGCACTTAAGAATTTGGTCCTGTGTGCCGGCAGTGATCAGAAGCAGGACTTTGGGGTCCCATCATTGGGGATCCAGTTTCCTTCATGGATCATTGTACTCATGGTTTCTGATCTGAATGAACTAGTAAAGGATGGAGAAAACTGAGAATGATGACAATTGGGAACCTAGTTGGAGGAAATTGCTCTGGGACATGTCCCAAATCATGTGCATGCTTGTGCTTATTCTCTCTGTGTCTCTCTCTTAGTCTCTCTGTCTCTCTCCCTCTCTCTGTCTTCTGTACATGTATTTGTCTAGTACTCCTTCCCTTCCATTTCCTTCCTTGTATCCGTCCTTTCTTCCTTCCTTGTTTCCATCCTTCATTCGTTCCTTCCTTCCATTTTTTCTTTCCTCTTTTCTTTCCTTCATTTCTTTCTTGCTTGCTTGCTTGCTGTCTATGTTCTTTCTCCCTCCTTATTGCTCACTCCATCTCTGCTGCCAGGCTGCTATGGAGCAATCAACTCTGCTATGCTATGTTCTCCCCAGGATGATGCCCAACTTGTCTAGTGGAAACAACACAGCCAAGTGAACACTAACTAAAATGCCTAAAAATGTGACTCAAATAGATAAACATTTTCCCCTTGTGATTTATGTCATAGTGCTGAGAAACTCAGTAATACAAAAAAGTGAATCCTAAAGGCTAATGATAACTCTGTTGTATATCTTCCATCCAGAAAATCCCAGTCTACCACCAGCATCTTCCTGACACTGCTGAAGATTAAATTTGATTCAATGCTAATTCAATGGCCACTGTCATCCAGAACAAGTTTTTGCACCACCAGGGTACACACATGTTGAAGCAAGGACATCTCTACCCTGTGGCCCCCAAGCTCTGGTCTGATAGGGGCTGAGAAGGAACGAGTTGGCACACACTGCTGTTGACACTGGAGACTTCAAAGGGGCGAGCAGATGCCCTCCGTCTCCCCTCACACTTTCTGTTGCAGAGAGGAGGCAGCCCCGCAGCACTGTGGAGAAACTGCTGGCACACCAGTACACAGCTGTGTGGGAAGGGGTGGCTGAGTCCACAGTGAGGAAGAAGTCCTCTGTGCCTGGTCTGGACACGCTGTACCCGTCCGGGATGTCTCCTTTTACAAGTGTTCCTCTCTCCATTTGAGTAATGGAGCAGCCTCAGCCCATGCCCAGGGTCTTGTCGATACCAGTACATGTAATTATGGTTGTCATTCTGGCGACAGCTCAAATTCACCTGTCTTCCTGTCTCTGTGAGCTTGTGTCTTGGACGTTGGGTGATGGCAGCCTGCATGTGTCCTGTAACAGAGAATGACCCAAGTCTGAAGGGGCCTGTCAAGGAGAAGCCAGGGATGCCCTGGGGTGGGAGGCAGTGAGGGGCCCAGCTGTAGCCATCCCTCACCTGCCCACAGGAGACAGAAGGCCACGTGCAGCAGCTGGGTGCCCATCTCAGGAGCAGGGCCGAGTCCCATGTCTCCCAGCCTCCTTTGGAGGAAAAAGAAGGTTGCTTCTCAGTGACTTAGTGGCATCACCTCCCCACCAATGCCTGGGCTGCTGCTAACCTGCCACGCCCCTTCCCTGCAGAAACAACTGCTTTCTGTTATGTGCATGCACAGGGTTGTGGCATTGATACCAGTAATGGTAGTGCATATACACGATTTAACAGTTCATAATGAGTGCCGGTTTTAATTTCTTATTAACTAGAACTATCTATTTTAGTGTTTTCTTAATCTTAGGAAGGACATCTGTTCCTCTGGTTTTATTTTACTTCCATTATGATACAATTCCCTGTCTTTACTCTGTTCCAATTGTTCCTTATATTCAGTCAGCCTCAGAAATGCCTCAGGGTTGCCCTGGGGCTATCTATGGCATCTTGGCTTTAAGTACCTGCAAGTAGCTTTTATTAGTTTTTTTCTCTTTGCCTAATCTCTAAAGAATTGGATGTCAGTCTGAGAAGATATCCCTACCTTCAGAAGCCCCCAGACACTAGGTATCTACCTCACAGAGTTAAGGTAAGGACCCAGAATATCATTGCACAGTGATTGAGGTGACAGGCGCCCTCTAGGCTCAGGACACAGTTTTCCTCATGGAGATGAATTCTCCCTGCTTTCAGCCCAGCCATGTATCCGGGATCACCGATGTTCTCTTGTCTGTGCTTTCTGTCAAAGGATAAGAAGGCTGATTACTAATAGGACGAAGATTTTGACTAGCAGAGATAGAGGACTGCCATTTGCAGGATCGCACAGACATTCTCTGACTTCCTTCAGAGATTTCTATTTACCAAAAGCATAACAGCAACTCAACCATTACTTCTGTATCTTGATGGACATTGCTGCGCTCATGGTCTAGTGAGAGGAATACAGAATCAGACGGACCTCAGCAGGTGTACAGAATCCAATGAGAGCCTGGTGCTCAGGCCTTGAAAGACCCAGATGGTCCCAGACACTAAGAGACACCAACAAAAGGAGCCTGTGGAGTACAGTTGGGCCAAGGCATGTAAAGAGAAAGTTTCCATTTAACAGAGCAGTGATGAGGATGATCTACAGTGACCAAAGACACCTCTTGCAACATTCTCACCCATCCTTCCCCTACCCCACACCCTTCCCTTACTCTTCTCAATTTTGTAGGATACACACTTGATTCTACCTGAGACTTGCATTTTTCTTGAGGGGTCAGGTTAAAAACACCTGGACTACCAAAGCTCTGAGGATCATTTTCAAACTAAGGTCTTATCCACCTAGTATGATAGCCTTGGAAAGAATTTCCTTGGGTAGCTAAATATCACCTATAATTATCTACTTTCTATTTACTTTTAAATTCATTACTGAATCACTACTTTTAGTTTGTTGAAAACATGTATCTTGTCTTCAAGTAATCATAGGGACAATATTCTCTGGCTAAATGGTTTCTGCACTGGAAGTTGATGGACAAGCACTGTGTCATAGCAACCCCAACCCATAATGAGACCACCGCTGCTGCTCAGCTGATCTTGCAGTGGAGAGACAATGCTGTGCTGCCTGATATTACACACAGCAGAAAACGCCATAGAACCTCAGGAGCACCAGGCGAGAGAGGTAGAAAGTATACTTCCATCCTAGGTCTCTGATCCTTTTGAAGACTAAATATTAGGAAATTCTCTGAGCTACAGATTTCTGTCTATGAACTATACCTTGAGATCTCCCA